TCCAAGGCACATTTTGCATCTGAAACACAGGATGGAGCTCTCTTTGGGTGATTCAGAGGAATCATCACAAAACCCTGTGCTCTGCAGCGTACAATGAGTAGCGTGTGCCTGGTGTGCAAGCGCATCCCTGTGGGAGCAGCCCTGCCTGGGATGAACACACCTGCCTGGGGGGGAAGAGATGAGTAAATATTTTTAGCCTGAGGCACAGCTGGSAGCGTCTCGTCTGCTTCCTACGAGTGCTGAATTGTGGAGCAGAGCTTAGCGTGGTGGCGTGTCACACTGGTGGGCACRGAGAAGGTGGAATAGGGGTGACGTCGGAAAAGYGCATTTTGCAAAAAAGAAGGACATGGTATYGTTGGAGCCAAGTCCAGARGAGGGMCACAAAGTTGAMAAGAGGACTGGAACATCTSTCTTATGAAGACAGGCTGAGGAAGTKGGGGCTGGTCAGCCTGGAGAAGAAAAGGTTGTGCAGAGACCTCATAGCAACCTTCCAGTATCYGAACAGGGYCTACTGGAAAGCTGGAGAGGGACTCTTCATCAGGAACTGTAGTGATAGGAGAAGGAGTAACAGGCACAAAGTGAAAGAGGAGAAATTTAGCCCAGATATTAGAAATTCTTTATTGTGAGGGTGGTAAGGTATTGGAACAGGTTGGCCAAGGGGGATGTGAATGACCCACGTCTGGCAGTTGGGGTAGATAAGGCCTTGAGCAATGTGAGCTAGTGGAAGGTATCACTGCTCATGGCAGGTGATGTTGGGACTAGATGATCATTAAGGTCCTTTCCAATCCAAACCATTCTGTGATTTTATCAAAGGATGGAGACTGTGAGTGTGATTTGTGCTGCCATTCCTATCGTATCATCTTTCCCTGCCCTTGGGTGCCCTATTTCAGTTAAGACAGGGCTGAGCACACAAGGGTACCAAGAAGATCTTCTTTCCCCAGCGTGGCTAGGAGCCACTTGCATCCCTTAAAAGGCATCTTCTGACTCAGATATGCTCCATTGTCTGGGGCATGTTGTTTTGCAGCTGGAGACTGGTGAATGAAGCTGAGCTACTGACCTTGAGTTGAAAAAAAAATGCACATTTGTGCTTTGCAAAACAAGCCTTTAAAAGCTGGCTTTTACGCAAAGAATTATGCCAATGTGTGCATGGAGGCACTGGCATTTTGGGCCCCTTTTAATCTTCTGGATTGTCAGTGAAGTCTTTCACTGAATTAAGCCTTCAACCAAAGGACGGATGCTGAAAGAGGCAGTGAAGAGGACTCAAGCAGGTATTGAAGTATTTAGCCCAGGAGCAGATGCTTGGATCAGGGCCTAGATCAGAAGAGGTATTTTATTATGCTGAAGGAGGTATTGTTTTACTGCATTGCAAGGAGGCACAGATGATCCCTCTCTCTAAAGAGAGACATAAAAAGTCATCTGGTTTTGAGGCTTATTCTCATTCCTTTTTGGTGTGGATGTAAGGCAGCCCCACAGGAAATGGGTCACAATGAGCTTTGCCACTTTTTTCCATCATGTCATTAAAATGAGAGATGGAGATGAGTGAGGCCAGTTAGAGGAGTTTTGAAATTCCCCCTGGTCCCACTCCAGCCTTGCCCAAAAGTTAGAGACATTTTTCTTTGAAGGTGCTATGGGAAGGCAGCAGGCATTGGGCTTGGGAGGCAGCTCTAAGTCTGTGCCCAGTTCAGGCAGAAGGTTTTATTCCCTTTGCACCATGTCTGAGTTAAACGAGGCCCTGGCATTGCAGGAGGAGCTCGGTTAGGTGAGCACCGCCAAAATCTGGTAGGACAATACCCTGCCGGGCCAGCRCTCCGCTTCCGCTCCCTAAACAATAGGAGTTTACACAACTGCAGCCCACTTGAGGTTTCTGCCTTGCTTCATGGCTGAGCAACGAGACCCCAAATGTTACAGCTCTGCCTAATGTCCTTGGCTCTGTCCTGCTTTGGAAGGAAACATGCAGTGGCCTSTGCTGCCAATGCTATTTCCTCTCTTGCTTGTCTTTAAAGGTCTTTTTTTCCAACAGCTGATCGGCTCCGCAGCTCCGGGGAGGACGTGAGATCCGGCTGGCCCAYGAGCTGGCTGGTATGGCTGCGTGCCATGTTGTTGTTTGTATTGCTTTCATTTTTCTGGCGTTACTTGGCTCCTCCACGCAACTTGTTTTCATCCTGAACTATGTGCTCATTACATATCCAAACGCCCACGGGAGGTTTTGCATGAGGAAACTCGAAACACACGCGCAGTGGAGGAGCGAGTTTCTGATGGGATGGTGGAGGGGGGGATGAGATATTTGTCTTGAGGCTGACACAAACAATTGTCAAATCCCCGAGTTTCCTGCGGTTGGGTTTCCAGCTCGCTGATGAAGAACACGTGAACACTGTGTGTGCATCCTCCTGGCAAAGGGATGTGGGGARCATCTCTTGTGGTCACCCTGGCCTCCCCCAGCAACTCCAGCTACTGTCCAAGGCACAGGTCCAAGGACCTCCGAGCTCTCTGGCAGGCCGGTCCCTGAACGCCAAAGGGACCTTCTGCTGCTAGGAAAGCTCTCACTTCCCCTCCACGGCCCCATCCTCAGAGAGCAGCCAGGCACAGGCAGCACAGATCCACCCAGCCTGCTCTGGGCCAGAAGGCACCAAAATGTGCTGGAGGGTTTCAGTGAGGTCCCAAGTGAGAGAGGCAGAAGTAGGAAAACTCTGCACGTGGTTTGCTTCAKAAGGACAAGGAAGCTCGTGAAGGGCCTGGAGCACAAGTCTGATGAGGAGCAGCTGAGGGAGCTGGGAGGCTCAGCCTGGAGRAAAGGAGGYTCAGGGAGTCCTTCTCAGTCTCTTCAACTCCCTGACAGGAAGGTGCARCCACRTGAGGGTYGATGTYTRCTTCCAGCAATATGATGAAAGGAAACAAGTTGCCCCAAGGGAGMTTTAGATTGGACATTAGGGAAATTTTTTTCACTGAAAATGTTGTCAAGCACTGGAACAGGCTGGTCTGGGTAATGGTGGAATCATCATCCCTAAAAGTGTTCAAAAAAATATGTAGATGTGGCATTTGGGGATGTGGTTCAGTGGGGGGTTTGGAAGTGCTGGATTAATGGTTGGATCTGACGATCTTAAAGGATTTTCAAACCTTAGTGATTCTGTGATTCTWTATATGAGTGCCCTCTTTGGGGTCCTTCYCTGGAGCAATGGGTCTCAGTCACTGGTAGAGGCAGGATGGGGCACATTGGTGCCATTGGGCTYCCCAGATTTCACAGATCCAGTATTGCATTAGTGCAGCAAGCACAGCACAGGCCTGGACCAGCACGGTGGGATTCAGACACTTGTGTTTTCTGATTCTCCCCCTCTTCTATGGCTGAGCTCTGGCAGCTGCCCTGGTTCAGAGTGCTCATCTGGAGGCTCCAGGCTGTTCAAATCCACAGCACAACTCTGYCCTGCACATCACGCTCCTCCTCACYGCGCTCTGTCCTCTCAGAGKRTGGWAAAACCYTCTTCYGCAGSAGAACTGCACAGGACTGGGCAGGCTGAGCCAGAAGGACCAGGGGACTCGATTTGCAGCTTTGGATTGCTCTGCTTCCTCACAGCCTTCCCTGCCGCCTGTGCTGCAGATGAATAAAGATTTTCCAGGGCTGTCAGTACCGCGTATTTCACCAGCATTCCCTTCTCTTTAAGTCCAAAATGTGCTAAAAATACGCTGCCTTGGCATCCAGGTCTTGATTCAAGTGGTAACAGGATACTGGGCAGAGAAATCCTGGGGTGGTTTCACTGTGCTGACTCTTCCTCCTTTTCATCCTCCTCCTTCTCATCCTGGCTACTGTAGGGGTGTTACCCCCCAAATTTAGTCTTCAGAGGTCACAGGTTTCACGTGGCATTGCTCCTCTTGGGCTAGCTGTTAGCAAARCTCTGAATACTGAGGTGGCTTCTCTTCCTCTGGGGTTGGGAATGTATTATTAGTGAAGTATTTGTTTTATTACTCCTGTGGTAATTTTGGGAGGGGGATGCCTGCAGGCAGGAGCTGGGAAAAGTGAAGTCTGAAATGCCACCGAAGACCACAAACTTCAAAAAGCCTCGTTAGTGCGGCAGCAGAGGGAGATGTGGATGTTTTTGCCTCATCCGTGGATTTTGTTGTGCTGTTCCTGAGCTGTGTGGCTTTGATACCAGTGAAAACACTGTGAACCCCCTCTGGGAAGGGGTCTTGAGATGAAGTGCTTTYCTCTCCCCCTCACTTTTGAAACACCCAGTTGATGTTCAGCCTTCAAGGCTGCTGAGYGAGTTTTTCATCCGCAGGCAGATTTTACTGCCACATTCTCACTCGCTTTCCTAAAATAAAGGGGAAAAAAATAAAAGAATCCTTGTGCTAATTTAATCTAGCCAGGCATCCTGCTGTCCTGCCTCATAATATCTCTCCAATCTGTCATTTCCAACAGACAGAGGTTTATTGGTTTGGCTTTTTTTTTTCCTCCCCTGGTCTTGCAATATTTCTCCTGATGTCTCAAGTAGCCCAGAGCTCCCCCATGGGTRTCCCAAGCTTCCCCCTTGCTTTGGTGGGAGCTCTGGGTGAAAACATCTCCCTTTTACAGGAAAAAAACCCGCAACAGCCTCAGAGAGAGAAACTCGTTAAAGAATGGGAGCTTATGTGCTGGGTTGATGGTTGGACTCGATGATCTTAAAGGTCTTTTCTAACCTTATAATTCCAGGAGCCGGTGTGGGATGGGGTTTCCTAGATCACTTTGCCAAGCACCCACATGCGCTGGGCCAGGAAAGGAGCCATTTCCTTTGGGAACCAACAATCCACGAGCCCCTCATCCTACCTGAGTCCCTCGGGGCATTCCCCCTGAACCCCTCGGGGCACCGCAGCCCAAAGTGCAGTGTCTGAACCCCGCAACCCCAAAGAACAGCGTCTGAACCCCCAATCCCTCAGACGCCCCCGATCCCCCTCAGGGGACACCCCCACCCCCGCCGGCGCGGCCCCTTTAAGAGCGCTGCCCCTTTAAGAGCTTGGCCCCGCCCCCCGCGGTCGCTGCCGGGGCCGCTGCTGACAACAAGATGGCGGCGGCGGCGGGTCCGGCTGGCGCCGAGAGCCGCGTGTTGGGCTACAGCCTGCACCGCTGGAGCAGCTTCTCCTCCACCTACCTGCCCGAGTGAGTGCCGGGCTCGGCACCGCGCCCGCGCCGCGCTTCGGGCTCGGGTCTGGGAGTGGCCGGGCAGCCGGGCCTGTGTGGGGCCTGCGCGGGCCCCGTGCTGGGGCCTGCGCGGGGAGGCCGCGGCTGAGGGAGCGGGAGCGGAGCTGTGTGTGAGCGGCGTTCTGTGTGTGAGAAGGGTCTGTGCAGCAGATTTTGGGTGGCTGTGTGTGAGGAGGCTGTCTACAGGAGAGTTTGGGACGGCTGTGTGTGAGAGGGATTTCTACAGCGGGTTTTGGGGGTTCTGTGTGTGTGAGAGGAGTCTCTACAGCAGGGTTTTGGGGGGTTGTGTGTGACGAAGGTCTGTACAGCGAGATTTTGGGGGTCTTTTTGGGGCAGAAGGTGCTCAGCAGGGTTGGAGATTCAGGGACAGGGCCCCATCCCTGGAGAGCGTGTTTGGGGAAGTAGTTGATGAAAAGGTTTGAGGGAAGTTGTGTTGGGCAGAGGGTCTGGGCTTGCAGGTTTGATGTGGTGAGTTAACTTAGGGAGGGCCTAGAGAGTCAGGTGTGGGGGTTCTTTAGCTCGAGGTATGGGCAAGGGAAAGTTGCACTGAAGGAGAAGCCTGCCCTGTTGGAGGGGCTGGTCAATCACTGTGTGAAAAGAGAAGGGTCAGTGCCCCTCCTTCCCTTCCCTGCCTCTGTCAGATGCCTGTAGGCTCTGTGTTTTTTGGCATTTGCATGTCCTCTCTTGCCCCTGATCTCTGGAATGCTGGGTTGTGTCACCTGCTGTGTGTAGTTCTAGGGGGAAGGAGTCACCTGCTGCCCTAATCGCCCGCCTTTAGGAATTTGGATGTTGGCAGGAGGTGGCTGGAGCTGTAATAGTTTGTCGTGCTGTACGGACAGATCCCTCAGTGGAAGAGTTGGCCATATGGCATCCAGCTGCAGCCTGTGGAATTTATCTAGTTGCTGACAGTCACKTTTGGAGTGACCACAGCATGGTTTAGGTGTGATGTTTTTGGTACAGCTTTCAGATAAATCATCCTTGGTGCTGGAATTCAGGAGGACTGCTGGGGTCASTGCACAACTAGGTCATTGTAGGCTGTAGAGCCTCATCTGATCATCGATTGTCCTGCATTTACTGACCTTTGATTGATGTATCCTGAACTCACCCACTATCAACAAGTGACAGAGTTGCCTTAGTTGTTAATTATTAATATCCTCAATTATCTCCACTTTCCAAAATGAAGCAAAACTCTAAAAACAGTTTTCTACATGAACTTCGAGTTGTTTTGTTTTTCTGTATGTTTTCTATGTTCGATGTGAAAAACAACTGATTTCTTCTCTAATTGGAAATCTTTGGTGATAATTAAGTCATCCTTATACCTTTTCATGTTAAAACAGCTTGGCTTCAGGGCACCTCTTTCAGGTCTCTGATGGTCTTGTAGTTATTTCAACTGGCATGTCTGGCTTTTAAAATCTTATTAAAGTGTTGGTCCCTGAGCAGAAGAGATGGCAGTCCATTATTGATCTCACTGATGTGATATAAACAGAGAGCATTGTCTTTCTCCTTGACAGTCCTTTCCAAGCCTCCCATTAGTCCCTTTTGCTACAGACTCWGGAATTAATGTTCATGTGGCATCTGCAGTGCTGCCCAAAGTCCTTAATGCCTTCCCTGGTACAATTCCCACCCCTGTAGCTGGGCTGGTAATTTACAAACATATGACCTTGCATTTGGCTGTTTTTAAGATGTTGTTTAAAAGTGCATATCATCAGTGAAAACAATTTTATCTGCTTTTAAGCCCCGTAATCCCAGCAATGGGGTTATTCTCTTGTATGCTGACCTTGRTCTGAGGGATGCTGGTCCTAACATGGTGTCTGCTATGCAAGTTTTGGGTTTTGCTTGCTAACTTTTAGTTCCCATGGTCTGGGAGAGAGCTGGAATACAGTCTGAATTGGAAAGGAGAGGCTTTGAGCTGTGATTTAAAATCAGTTTTTAAAAAAGAGAATTTAATCAGAAGTATATGGGAGRGTGGGCTTTTGGGGATGGATTGAAGATGGAAAACTTAAAAATTGCTGGGATAGGAACATAACACCCTGCGGSATGGACATGCAGATAGACTGAAAATTGTCTTAGTATTTAATATGTAGAACAAAATTATGCTTGTCTGGAAGAACTTGATCTTCGAGAATGTTTTCCAATATAAATGATTATATGATATTGGGAATTCTAGTTACACTGTAATTTAAATAAGTTTGGTGGCCTAACTAGAAAGAAACCACTTCAGCCTTGAAGGAGAAAAGGGGCTCTGCTCTCATATATTTAGGAATGAATTTACAGCTTACTAAATATTATTGCCTGTTGTTGGGAGTTGTGGTATTGCAGGCAAAGTGTTTGGGGAGGAGCAGCAGAGAAGCTTGTCAGCTAAGCATGATTTAAACACATCTTAAGTACTTGTATGGTTGTAAATGTAAAACAAAGTTACAGAATATAAAACTTTCATCACTGCTGACCAGGGAAGAAATGAAATGTTGACTGACACCTCATCGGCTTATGCGATGCTAAACTGACATCAAAACTTTTCAGAGCACTGAAATCACCTGATAACCTCCCTTTTAATTAAAAAAAGTCCAAACAAAATGAAACAAAAAGTGCTTTTCAAAGGCCTTTCTGGTCATGCTCTAGTTCAGGATCAGTAGTCTATWGAAAACATCAATTTTCTTTCAGTGGCAGAGAAGCTTCCTCTCTGCTGAATGCCAGCATCTTTCTTACATTTGGTGATGGTACTGGAGGATTAGTTAGTGCTGGATGCCATTTCTGGCAGTTTTAGCAGTGTTGCTACCTAGCAGTTTAGCTACCTGCATGCTTGCAAAGACCTTTCCAAGCATTAAGTGAGGATTGTCTTTCTTGTGTCTGCCAAGGAATAGTTCTCCTGTTTTTCAAATGGCTAGAGTTGTCTGTTGGTTTCTATCTACCAGCAAGAGGATTGACTTGGATATTTATTTTAGAAACTGTGGGTAGAAGTGAAAGATTTGGTCTGATTATAGTGAAAGATTTGGTCTGGTTATAGTGGCTAGCTGAGTCTGTGTTGTAGGAGAGGTTGTGCCTTTGGGAAGAGAATTGATCCAAGAGGAAATCTGGTGTTGAAACATTTGGTGTTTCCAGAGATGCTCTGTCTGTGCAGAGGTGCCTCTGCACTGAGAGGCTTCAGCTTATCCAACTTGGATGGAAAATGTTCATCCCAGCCCATCTTCTAAGACTGCTCTGTCAGATCCATTCCTTGCCTCTCCAAGGTTCCTCCCCAAAGGAATGGAACCTCATGGCAGGCTGCTTTCTGATATCACACAAGAGACTGGCCTAGGGATTGCCCCACCACCAGCAGTTGTTTCACACCAGTGATACAAAGGAGTGCTGGTATCTTCTGACATGCACAGAGAGGGAGATGGATTTTATTTCCATCTCTTCTCTGCCCTCCTGCAGGAAGTGATGAGCTCAATCCCWGTTTCTTCTTTGGACAAGGAGGGAATAAACAGTTTATAGAAGGTAATGCAAGCATTGCTTCAACTGGGTTTTTTTTGGTAAGAGATAGAGCGAGAAGCCTGTTGCTGTACACTGAGAGAAGCACTTCATATCCCCATTTTTTTTTAGTGGCCTGTTCTTGTACCTGCTTCAGTTTGAACTTCCTCCTGAGGTGAATGAGACATGAAGTACTATGCAATGGCAGCCGTGTACCCTTTTTTATTGCCAAATTACTGTATCCTGGGGCCATGGGTTCTAGTGGCTGCATCAGCCTCACGATTGAGGGTATTTTGTATTTGGTAATGCACTCAGGTCCTTCTGTCACTGTTTTATATGGCTGAAATCCCACTTCAGAGATTAACAAGAGCTTTTTGCTGTGTTACTCTATTCACATACCTTTGTTAGGAAGGTTCATCCCTTTTCTATTGCTCAAATTTTCAGTCATTCAGGTTTTCCTATATGGAATCTCTAGAGGAAGATCAATCTATTTCCTGTGTTTGACTTCAGGATTTTTAATTAGTATTTTGTTTATTTCTTGTGCTAATGTTTTTATTAAGAATATAAATTAAGAGAGGTTTCTTAGCTGATAATTRAATACCATTAACAACCTCTAGTTGGTGTCACTTTTTCACTGCAACTCACTTTTATCTATTTCCTGGGTCAACTTTAGTTGTTCACAGAATTCCAGTTTTCTTCAGTTTGATGCCTTGAGTGGTGTCATATGCTGAATAACTCTGTGGTTCCTTTCCTAGGAAGTATAGTGGAGCAGGGAAAGATCCAGCTAATTTGTTGAAATACATTTAAAATAATTCTATTTTTTCGTTGGTTTTCTGCATTTCCATCAATCCATGGGAAGTAAAATTAGTGAAAGATATTTTGAAAGTAAAATATGAGTGACTCATAAACTTTCAAAGTGAGAATGCAATTTTTTTTTTCTTTCTGTTTATGGGTATTTAACAAGAAGTTCCTGGCCAAGCTAGAATGTACTGCTGTAGTGTGTCTACTCCGAAAGAAATGCACGCTTCTGTGTTTTCAAATCTTGTAAAACCTTGGTAAGAAGGTGCAGAGGACACGTGTAACAAACTTTTTGGGGTAAAGTCCATAAGGATTAAAAAAACCCAGACCAAAACAAGTAAAAACAAACAAAAAACACCCCAGGTGAAAAATAACCTGAATTCCAGCTCCAGTGCTTGCTGAGATTTCTGTAACAGGAAAAAACATGGGTTTGTGGCCAGTGAAATGTGATTCTCAGTTTCTYCTCCAACCACATGAAACTGATGACTCAGATCTGTACCTTAGAGGGTCATAAATCTCCTTATAGATGCATCCAGGTCTCGAAGAATCTCATGATCAAGCTGAGATCAGTCATGATTAATGAAAGGGTTTATTTTTAATATCCTATTCCCTAAGCCTAAGCTCTGTTCCCTTTACGAGAYGAGGATACCTTCTGCTGAGGCCTCAGCAGTTTAAAGCCATCTAAACCAGACCCAAATGGTGAACCAGTT